GTAAATGACTCTTAGGATAGTGATAGTGATAGCCTTCATCAGAGGAGGGCAAGTTTGGAGATGGGGAAAGATGCTCAGTTAGGTTTTGGGCATGTTGATTCACGTGGAAGATATTTCCATGGAGAATGAGTTATACACAAAAGATGTAAAATTTACTTGTGACAGATTTAAAAGAAATCTTAATAGATTTATTACTCTTTTATTAGGAATTTTGTCAGGTTTTTACTTATTTTTAGTTTGTCATTAGTAGAACTTCTGTTGAACATTCTGTGCTTGTTCAGCCCTGTTTATCATCGTGCTAATCTCAAAAAATTGCACTGTTTAGTAGTCTTCAAACTTTTTTGGTTGTGTACACTATCAATAAAAAATGTTTATAAATGTAGCTCCAATATATATAATTTATTGATTAGTCATATGCGTGTCTTACAGTACTATTATATTGTGTACATTGTGAAAAATATGTAAAAAGTGGAAATTTTCAAAGACTAAGAAAAATATAAATTGGAATTTTACTATTTTGTTTCTATGTCCCATTAGTTAATGTTGCATGCACCCTTCTTTAGAAAGCACTGGTCTAATCTCCAGCTGATAGTGTTCTGTCCCATTATCCAGTAGAGGTCACTCTTGAGCATCTGGAGGAGCAAATAGACTGTTGAGCTGTGCAAGGTAGAGCCTTCATTCTTTAGTTAGAAGGAGGGTCTTATTTTTAAGTTTCTAAATTCATGCATTTTTGGAACAGTATTTAATTACAGAGTAGTATGTGGTCTTATGGAGAAGTGAAGAATAATAAGCTCACTAGAGTATGTATGGATCAATCAAAAATATGCTTTTGTTGTTGTTTGATGTTTACTTTGTGAATGCCCTGCATTTGGGCTTGAATGTTACTTGATTCTATAGTTTTGGAATCTTCCCAGTTCTTTGAGAATCTGTAGATTATGTGAGCCACAGGAATGTTCTCAGCCTGTGGGCATAATCCAAGTTCTTGTTAAAATTGGAGTAATTGAAAGGACAGACACAAAGAGGCTTTCTTTGAAATTGATCTTGAAAGCAGTATCTTAAGCCCAAAAATGTTAGTGGTGGGTTGGAACCATCTATCTGTATTTCTGATTTTTTGCTTAATTAGGAAAAGGGAAATGCCTTTTCTAAATAAGAGTCCATTGTAAGTAATTAGAAGTCAAGCACTGTTTGTCATAGGTGTATATTCTAAAAAGGAGAAAGTACAGTTTTAAATAAATATATGGGCTGTTGTATGACTCAGACCACAAGTAGCTTAGAAACAAATCATCAGATAGGTTGAATAACAGAAGAACACTTTTTCTGCTGTTTTCCTCATAAAATATTTCCTATAAATAGGGATGTTCCTTTTAGTAGGGACCTATGATTATAATCATATACAAGTTCATACTTTCTGTGCCCC